TGTGACAAATTATAATATTTGTATATAGGATTCTATATACTCACGTGAAAGATCAATTTTCATGTCTTTAGAGCATATTCAGTCAAGTTAATCAGTTCTTTTTAATAAAAAATCAATTGTTTGTATGCAAAGGCTTGTTGTTCGATATTTTCATGTTTTCGTAGCAACAGCTATTAATGAAGGAACAGACACACTTGTTAAAAGGTTTTTCACTTTGCTCTTTCTCTTTTTAATCGGAGTTTTGAGAAATTTAACTTCAGGAAATATTTTTGCAGATGGAATATTCTTGCACTGTCATTTTGACTGACTGGGAGGTCGTAATTGAGGTTTCGATTACTATCAAATACTAAATTAAGAATCACTGAAATTTTAAGGGTTAATGACTTTTGACGCTAATTATTTTCAGTTCTATTGCAGGTGAAAGAAGGTACATACTTGAATTAATGACAATTAATGCCTAATAATTAAATTAAAAGCTTAACTCCATCACTCAATTAACATTTAATAAACCCAAGCATCCTTAATTACTAAAAACATCAGATCCTGCTTGAAATTCGTCATCTTCAATGAGGAAACATCGAAACATTTAAGCATATTACGTGCATTAATGATATCATCACGTCAATAACCTCCAAAAGCTTTAAGTCATTGAACGAATGTAATATCTTACTTGCTTCTTATTCTGGTTGTGTGGAAAGTCCAATAGATTATTCCTGACACGTGAAATTAAAAGACATTCAGACTCGCTGATCAAGTCTCGATTTCGTTCTATATTCTCCATATGTGAAAAAGTAAGAACATTATATTTTTTTGTTGCAAATCCCACTTTAATATCCAAAATTTAAGTTCTGAATAAATTTCTTGTTTTTTAAGAAATCTCGTTTTTGTGACGATAAAAAAGAAACAGTTCTGTTACATTCACGTTCAGTTTTCTTTTGAGATACATATTTCGAAATTTATCACTTAATGGCCTCTCTTTTTTCTGAGAAAATTTATTTAAAAAATTATACCAATGAACCATTGTATGATTCATTAGAACGACAAACAAGGAAGGAGTAGTGACATTAATGCTGCTTCGTTTGTCTAATTCTACAAAGTGACAACAGGTTTTTTTTTTGTGGCTCATCTTCATCCATAAAAACTTCTCAATTAAATCTTTCAACACAATTAATGGCAACAAAAGAACCATCGAACTTAGAATATTTTAATAATTGTTGCAGATGTTGAATGGGGGTTGTTTAGCTATGAGGTCTAATTTTTCTGATGTCTGGGTTTTTAAAAAATCAGCTGGTGAATGTCGCTAGTAATTTACATTAGAATTATAATTATAAACTATCATAAATACAATAGACCAGTTATTTTGCAATGCATTTAAATCAATATTTTACTTTTTTGTGAATTCGAGCGAGAAAAAAAACTTTAAAATCTCAAACTTATTTCGCCGAAGAATTGTTTGACATTTAAACATTATAATATATAGCTCCATTGGTATATGCTTTGTATATAAATATTAAAAATATATCTATAGATTTTAATTTTCTTTCCTAATCTCATTATGATACTAATCGCTTGAAGGACTCACATATGCAAAATACTGCTTAATGTATCGTTTTACATCTTTCATGTTTTCTTCGCTTCTTTCTTTACGTCAATAGCGTGTGAATGTGATTAGTAGTTTTGTGTCATCAAAACTGATTGTTAAGTTTTATTACTTCTGTTTTTAAAAGCCTTATTACTTTTGTTTCGCCCACAATATGTGATCATCGGAAGTTTACACTTGCTGTAAAGATCACTAGGAAATCATGTATGAGGAAATGTTCAACAAAAATGGTTCTACTTTTCAATTATTGGCTGCTGCTGTTGCTGATGATTCTTCACATTTGGTATATTGAGATTTTTTTTATAACACCCGGATATTTTGTATATACTACTTATCTTTTCGAATTCCCTGGTGAATTAATTACTTATTTATCGATTCTCAATATTTTTTTTCGTAGACCTTGAAATCGATTACAGAAGATCTGAATGAATGGATAAGGCAGTAAAATTTATAGTCTTATTTCTAATATTTTGACAAAAAAAAATAATATTCTTCGATAAATTGGGGGCTGTTGTTGATTTGGGAACTAAGATGAGGATTTTTTTTGTTAGAATTTGAATCTTGATTTTTGAGAAAGAATCAAGTTTTATCAACATTTTGCTTGAATGGTTGAATTTCTGTCTGAAACTTATCAAGTTCGTTTGATTCTTGAAACTGTACTAATTAGATGCAATTCTTTGGTTATTTTCTAGCATGAATCAATTATTAATTTAGATTCATGCTTACCATATTACTGGTCTTAGTTCTAGTCGAAAAAAGCATCCAAAATTTAATAAAAAATTAAAATTAACATTTACTATTCTATATGTATGATGAATATCATTTTTGAACGACCCCCATGTCCAAAATTCTCTAAACATTAACGTTTCCTGCTATACTTAGTTGCTATTCAAACAATTCCAAAAAGTCAACAACTATTTCGAAATTTTCCAAATCCGACAGAAAAAAAAATTCCTGCAGAGAATTCACATTCGGCAAATTCTTTTTACCCAAAACAAGTCGCATCGCAAGCCAGCTCGAAGCTAAAAAAACTTGAAATCCAAACTTTTTTTTATCACCAAGTCATTTCAGCAATCGAACATATGGTTGAAAATGTATCAAGTTAATAACACTTAAAAAAGATCGAAATATCACCGAACGCATTAATGGAAAATGATCTTATTATAACTGTAGGCAGCTGGCTAGACTACCCAAAGAACTCGAGTTTCTCACGTGAAGTACGATTCGAAATTTTATGCAAAATCTATTCAGAAAAAAAATTTACCGCTTCTAGGAACAAAAAAAAATCTTTTTTGAATAAATTATAAGAACATTAAATAAGCGACGAAGATATGCACTTTTTTATAATATTTTTTTGTGTGTCTTTAAGTGCTTTTGATTTTGATTTGATTAAAAAAACTTTTATTGTTTAAATATTTAACAAGTTCTTTAAAAAAATATCTTAATCCGCCATAAAAATCAGTTGTGAGCTTAAACTGAAGTGCATTTCATTGAAATTAAGCATCATCATAAACTTCTGTTTTTTTGATACATCATGTTATAAGTGCCATAAAATTCCTACATATGTCGATCATATAAAATAAACTTGATGGGTTTTTAACAATCGTGGATTGCAAATTTTTTGGATTTATTTCCTTAAACATCGTAAATAAGGTCAATAATCTAAAAATATTTTCGAGAAATTTTTGGCAAAAGTTGAAGAAAAGGTTTGGAAATATTGACATCTGGCAAATAAAATTTTTATTGATTTGCAAAAAAAAAGATCAAGCATTAATGGCTGGGAAATAAGGGATGTGGGATTGAATAACAAAAAATTAATTCTCCTTTATTATTTTGGATATTGATGGTCAAAAAACTCTCTCGAGTCTTCTAGCGCAAAAAATAAATTTGAATATATTAAAGTCATAAATTTCGGCATTAATCTTTATCGGCGATATTAAGCTTGACTGGAGTTAAAGCTATTTGAACAATTTATTAAAATATTTTAGATCAAAAGAAATATTTTATTGATCCAACTTAGTTGATAACAAGCGTTACAGATTTACTGAATTGAATAATTCACGGCATTTCTCAATGGAGTTTCTTAAAAAGGGAATCGAATTGAAAGTCCTTGAACTGAAAGCCGATCCCTTTCTCATCGCGAATAAACAAAAATTGGTGGATTAAATTTCAAAAAACAATTTTTGTAAGCTTTTGGAATCGACTAATTATTGAATAGACTTACCAAGGCTTGTTTGAAATTTGTTCTTAAATCTTTAAAAATATTTAATTTTTGAATCATCTAACATCTCTTAGTCTAGCTCTCGTAAAGCTCAGAACCACTTAACTATTCAAAAGCTACTAGTCGAGATTCTTATAAAATTTTATAATTTTGAATCGTCGATTCGCACAAAATTCTTTGATCTTAAATTATTTTCATTAAGTTTTAAAACCTTTCATGCCTTCAGCTGTTCATTAATGCCAAAATTTGAGTCCAGCAAAATAGTATTTTGAGCTTATAGCTGTTTATAGCACATTAGGTTCTCAATTTTAAGGGATTATTGCCCCATTAAAAGCTTATCTTATTACCAATTCCTTATAAAGCATTTCAAAGTTCGAATGCTATAAGACACCGCCAGTATTCCAACATCAATCTTCTAACATATTTAAAAAATTCTAGGAAGGACACTAATGTCTGTCCACATATGACAATAAATAGAAGAACTCTATCAAATTTGAATTTGAAAGTATTTTCAAACAAACTTTTTCACACATCTATAGTTAGAACCTAAGCTCATGCAAGAAACTCATCAAAAGCTTCAAATAAATTCTATTTATGGCGGGATGATCCAATGGATGTCATAAAACAAAATCTTAATTGTAATGCAAATGTTGAGGATTTTCATAAAATAAAATAAATCAAGAAGATTTATAAAAGCTTTGTTTTTGAGGATGAAGTTTCAATTAAAAGAAGTCGAAAATAAATAAATAAGAATTAAATTTAATTCGGATCATAAAGTATCCAAAATATACTCCTTACAGCAAATTGCCATGTCAAACTTTAAAGAAGAATATTTTAATTTTTTTGATAAAATCAACAATTTTAAAATATTTTCTTCTCAGCTCTAATCAGCTGAACAAATCTAAAATCATTACCAGAATTTCACGACCCAAACGTAAAATTTGCATTTGTGAATGGGTTTCTTTTGGCATTTTGTGTAATAATATTTCTCATATACATCTCATATTTATCATCACAATATTTCTTCATCCGAATCGAAAGAAAAATATGGATAAAAAAAATATTATTAGCAAGCGACAAAAAATAAATTCGCGAATTAGGTAATAGTTTATATAATTTTTATCAAGTGATGCCAAAATATTCTTTAAGTTTATTTCAAAAAAAAAAAAATTTACTTACTCCGCTTCCAATTTTCATGATGGCTTATTTTTGAAATTTTTGTTGACGTTAATTTATGAAATGAATTTTTCAGTCGTAAATCAAATGAAAAATAATTTATTCTCTTGTCTATATAATATTTTCTTCCTAAGTTTCACAATATATGCCTGCACACAACTTATCAATAGAACATTCAAAGAGAGACTAAAATCATCTGTCAAAAAAATTTCTTATGCGATTCCCGTTCACTCGTACGACAATTCTTGTTTTCTCAAATCACAAAATTCACAAAAAAAAATTATCAAGTAGATTTTTTTTTCTTTTTCGTCGTTAAAGCACAAGAGAACTACCAACAAACAAAAAATCACCAACCAATTCAAATGAACATCGAAATGATACTGAAAATTTTTTTTATGAAAAAAATTATTTTAAAAGATTTCATACAAGTTCATCCCTTCTCAAAATGAAGAAGAGGAAAAAAAAGATCGCTTAAGCATATTCGAAATTTATTTCAACAATCTCACGTTTTTTTTCTTCATATAAATTTCTTCAGTGTGTATGTGGACATTCTTTTTTTCGGCAATATATAAATCTTATGGCAAAAAAAAAAACTTTATAACCGCACGTTGGAAAAAAAAGTTACACGAGAGTTTTAAACATCGAAAAAAGATTCTTCACAGAGTTGGTTGCTATGTGACTGTTTTTCAGTGCCTGACCTAGATCTATCAGAGTTGTTGACTATATTTTGCAGCTATTCTAATAATAGGTGAGTTTTGGTTCGCATTGTCTTTAGTTTTGGGTTCAACGTAAATTTGATTGGATTATTAGCTAGGATAAAGAAATGATTCAGTATTTTGGTACTTTAAACTTATTTAACAATCTTTTGTTCAAGACTGAGCTGAGAAACTTCTAAAAACTGAAGATCGGATAAGACTGATTAAAGTGACGACCAGATTTCAATGGCATAGGTTCTATCTTAAGGTTTGGAAACTAAAAATCAAATTATTATCATTTTTGATCATTTTAATCAATTCAATTGCCTTAAATCTATCAATAAGGAATGAAGTTAACATGTCTCTTTATATAAACCTAACTTAGTTTAAGCCACCATTAAGATAGCCCAACTCTGAATCTTCTTTATAGTATTTCTTCTTCTAGAAGATGTTGTTTTTATTATCGATGACCAATGCATACGAATTAACACGTGTCTCATTCTTGTTATTTTCTTCTTTAAATATAAACAGCTTCTATCACTTTCAACTTTTATGTTCAAGCTTGTGACGCTTTTTAATTTTCATATTTTCATTTCAATAACCCTGCACGAGGTGGTTTTGAACCTTTCAGATGTTATCATCATCGATATTATTATTATTATTATTATTGTTAAAAGCAAGTTTTTTGGGAAAATAATTCTTTAATTTTTAACTCAGATTGTCTCAACTTTTTGGATTTTCTAAAATAAGGAATAAAACTCGATAATTATCATATTAAATGCAGTTATGTGGTCGACAAACATGACATTTATCGACCAAACAGGAAACTTTATTAACCACTTAGTTGATAAATGTCATTCTTGTTCATTCGAAGTTCTTAAAGGAGTATTTAATTTTTTTTTCTTTTTTAACTGTTTGAGATATGGGAATTTTGGAAGGGGTTCTCAACCTGCAGCTGGGAAGTACACAATAAAAATCTGATCCAGAACAACCCAGAGCTACACTAAAGAACTTCGCGGCTTGTAAAGAGGATCAGAACTACTTCTTTGATAATATTCCTGCCTCTAGGTTCATGTAGGTAAATGCTGACTATAAAATTACTTCAAACTTAAATTTGAGAGATTGCAAAATACTAGCTTTTATCCTAAACTGATCATTAGAAAATCAATCCATGAACAAATTGAAAGCGAAAGCTTTTTAAAAAATCATCTTATCTTACTAAAAGACTTTTCTTGTAAGAACCTCTAAATAGATCTGACAAAAACAAATATTTTATCTATTTCTAGTAGACTTGTTGCCTCTATTTGTTACTAGTGAATTTGGATGATTTGCCAAAAAGAATATTTGATTTTAAAAGTAAATATTTAGCAAATCTTGAAACCTTCATGATTGCTTTATTTGTAATACAAACGCTCGATTTAAATGCTTACAAATTCAGCGAGTTTAGACTTAAAATCTTCCGGTTTCTGCATAGTTAAATGCACTCTATTCTTTTATTGTGATCAGGTTTTAACTTTTTTTCGTGATATTTTCTTTTTTGTTTGAAGTCAATTTTATTTGGCAAGCTATCAAATTCAGAAGAAGATGAACAAAAAAAAATTATGGATTTGAAGTTGAGAGAAGAACAAATGGATGGAGACTCTTTTATAGAATAAAAAAAAACTAGTTTTATTCTGTTAAGTAAATATGTAGTAAATGAATGTGTAGATGTCTTTTAAATATCATGATAAAACTTCATGAGAAAATAAGACAAAAATTAATCCTTTATAAAGTCTTTCGGAATTAATCATAAAGTAAAGTTAAGGAAACATGGACATAAATATTTCCGATAAATTTATGACTAATTACTGTCAAAAAAAATTGTGCTTAATTTTTTTCCTGCAATCACATACAAAATACATCCGTTCCACATAAAATTATTGACTTATTTATGTGCTCCAAATTTATTATTGATGTATAAGCCACGAAATTTGTACCTGACTGACAAATAAAAAGAGAAAAATTAAAGATAAATTTATGCGAATGAGGAAGTGTGGGCCCTTATAATGGGAGCTGATTAAATGATATTGAGACCATGAATAAGTAATTTATGTCCAAAAAAAAGAAATGATATGCGACGAAAATGTGATCGTGAAAAAAAGAGTTACAAGAAGGGCTCGCGTGCCGCAATTTCAAGGTATAAATGCCGCTAAATGTCATTGCGTATTGCGTAGACAAACAGAAGCCGATAACTGCATGACACGACTCTCGTCTACAACAATAATAAAAGTCCCAAACAAAATAAAATTTTTTTAACAGTTTGGTGCTGTATTTAATTAGCAGTTTTTTCCCTCAACTCTATGAAATTGTTGTGAATGAATATCTGTGATAATGTTGAGTCAACATAGAGAAAAATATGTGTCTGGTTGGAATAATATTGAGTTGAGGATTTTATGGCATTTAAATTCAGCAAATTCTGTGCTTTGCTTCCGAAATGAAGTCAACAAAATAATGTGGAAGTAGAGTTTTATATATTTTCCGTGCAAATATTCGCAGCTGGGAACATAATAAAAAGAATCTTTTAAAATGTCAGAGGTTCAACGCAAATCTGCGTATGTTTTGGTTCTCTTGAGTCAGACGAGTTAGATAACCTGGATGATCAGCATCAGCAATTTATAAATAGAAGATTTCTCTTTATAACAACTATCCACACTTTATAATAAGACAATCACATTGTTTGAACTCAGAACGAGAACTCTTTGAATATTGTTGATCTATTAACATTTAAAGCTGATCCTTCACAGCATTTTGTTTTGACTTTGATGGGATATTGAATTGTTTTGTCATGAGATAAGTAAACAGACAATTTCTCTATGTGACTAGCTTCTCTTAATTCCCAACAATCTAGCTCTTCTTCATCTTTAACTGTTAGATGACTTGATAATTAAATGTACTGTACTTTATTCGATTGACACTGCTGAATTTACTAGCTTTGGAGCCTATCTTTTTCTAATCCAGAAGTCATGATGACATAATACAGACTTTATGATCTAAGATTTGTCATAAAAATCTTAAACACTGCATCATCATCTTCATTTATAAATGATCTCCTGAAGGGACATGATGACTAATAGCATCAATAATTCATAGTTTTTGAGCATAAAAATAACTAATTGTGTGGCCTCTAATGGATGTTTAAGTACCATTCATTTCTGGATCTTCCACTAACGCCATACACCAACCAGCATCATCAACAATCATCTCTTGATCTCTATAAAGTCATTCAAGCGGCTACTTAAGAGCTATTGATAATCACACGTATGATAGCGATAATTAAGTAGCACATAAGTGATTTCTGATATCCAAGTGTTTACAAAACAAGCATGTTAGATTTCGAAGCACTTTACAGCACGTGTGGCTTATCGTTTTGGTTTCTAAGATGAATATAAAATTTTGTGATAGGTTTAATGGCCGATTGGGAGTGTGCAAAAACTTTTTGCAACTTTCTCTGAGAATTAGCAGTAAAATTAACAATGTTGAATCTTCAGAGGTTAAGCTCATGTTTTTTCGAAAGATAAGGCACATTCGAACAACTTTCCTTTTGTGTGATCCACATAAATTTGAGTTTACATTTCCTCTACTCAAATAAAATACAATTTAATATCCATTAAGCTTTTATTTTCTACCCAATTTAGACTCGAGAATGAGAAATAAAAACATTTATTTACACATCTCTAACTTCTTATAACACATACATCGTTCATCTTTTTGGGTTGCTCGTGAATATGGTCATGATTGCGTGAATTTTATTTTGGCGAATATTGCGAATGATATATATTTTTATTGAAGTTGCAAAAAATATATAATAAACCTGGATATACCTAAGAATATTCTAATTTATGTTAATTTTATTTTTAAACATGACCAAAATTTGAGTTCATTGTGATTTGTAACTATGGGAACAATATGACTAAGTTCTTTGGGATGCAATATTTCTCATATCAATTAGGATTTAGTCAGAATTTCCTTGTGCTTTAAGGTTCCATAAATTCCGTACTTAATTTGCTATGCTATAAGTCAGGGTCAGATCTGTATAATATTACAGTTTAGAGATTAGAAGCTAGCTTTATAGCCATTCAGGCTTCCACGGTTTGATTATTAAGTGACTTACACTTCATTTCTAAAAATCGATCACTTAAATATCCTAGATTGGCACGAATTCAAACAATTTTAGGATTAAAGGTTAATCCTCGATAGTAAATGAATTCAGACAACTATTAAGTAAGTTTTCACATCAACAACACGGAATTTTTTAATCCGCTACGCTTGTTATACGCTAAATACATCAAACTCCGAAATCAATTCATCATGCTGCAGCATCTATCGGATGTTAATTTTGTCAGTTATCAAAATAATATGCTAATAAATAACAAGTAGCGGTATTTTATAAATATCACATACCTTTCAAATCTCCTTTGCACAATGATTAATCATTGCCATGGTTTTATGACTTCTTAAACTTAAACTTGAAATTTTGTTCCTTTTTCACATGAAAGCTTTCGTCCAGCCTTGAAAATTGCACTGAAGTGTTAATGAAACTCGTCATTAAGTACATAGCAGATGAAATAATCACAAGTCATTATCTAATTTTTTTTTTGATTTAAATTTTATTTTCATATACTTGAATTCCGTTATGAGGCGATATATG